CCGCCTGCCCGCGCGCCCCACCCCAGGGCAGCATCCGAGTGAGCGCAAGGATCCCCGAGCTTGCGCTGTTGAGAATTCGCCCGAGTGACCGTGCCAAAGTTGGCCTGCAGCACTTTGCGCCCCTCCCTGGAGGCCAACCCGCGACGTCAAGCTGGAGCATCCTGGCCAGCCTGAGCCCGGCCCCGCCAGTCCAACCTCAGCCCCCTGCACGTCGCCGGGCCGGGCAATATGAAGGAGCAGCCCTCATGTGCGGGCACCGGGCATCCGAGCATGGCGGGGTATGGCAGGGGGGGCCCCCTCGCTGGTGGCCCCGTGAAGCGCTTGAGAACTGAGTCCCCCTTTCCCTGTCTCTTCGCAGAGGAGGCCTACCAGAAACTGGCCAGCGAGACCCTGGAGGAGCTGGACTGGTGTCTGGACCAGCTAGAGACCCTGCAGACCAGGCACTCTGTCAGTGAGATGGCCTCCAACAAGGTAAGCCCCTGCTCTGGTTCGGGTGTCAGTGAAGCTGCTAGACTGCTGATTCCCACACTGGGGAACCACCGGTCCCTGTGGCCTGGGGAAATACAGAGAGAAATTTGTCATGCTTACTGCGTGTTAGCTGTTCTGCTCCTTCGGAGGGAGGTTCCTGTTTGTATACTTCCCTGTAGGTAGATTAAACATTTTACAACAGCAACTTTGACTTAGTTCTAGCATCCCTAGGACGAAGGGTTCTTAGAGTGACACTTTGCCCTTGCAGCAGAAATTCAGTAGGGTCTGGTGGCGTTGTATATTATCACAGGGACTGCTTAAGATTCCTAGTTGGAAATAAAGAGTTGCAGGACTCTGTGAAGTCACTTAGGATGCCACCACGGACCTCGCTCACACCCAGGAGAGTTCACTGAACTTGCAACCTGCACCTCCATTTCTCTGGTTCTCGGGTTGCCTTGTAAGGATCGGGCCTTTAAATATTCTCTTCCGGGGATACATTCACAGAGGATATTAACAAAGTTAGAAGGGTCGTTATGCTGCCTTTATCTCCTTTGGTCTTGGAGACCAAATCCAGGTTTCTGAGGTCATTTAGTTACCACTAGGCTTCAGCTGGGGGTTTGTGCCTTATGTGTCAAGGTGATGCTGGTCTTGGCAGCTAATGGAGTTTGGGGGCCTGAGAAGTAACCTTCAGCAGCAGGCAGGCTTAAAGTAGCCTAGGAGGAGGTAAGGTAGAGTACTTTAAGAGTTGCATTCAAAACAACAGCACGATTGTGTGCTTTATGTCTTCGGTTATGCAAAGAAATAATTGAGATTATGTGGTTTTAAATGAGGGGCTGGCATAAGGAAGGGACCAAGGGAGGTACCTGATGCAAAGGCCTGAAAGAGTCAGTCAATAAGGACATGTGGCAGTTAGAAATAGTTGTCTCTTTAAGCTATTTCTGTAGTTTTGGACACCTATTTACAAGGTCAGGAGGGTTATGACATTTTCCCAGTTGTATTTGGTCCTTTAGTCAATGATGCTTTCTTTTTGTTCTGCTAGCTCAGTGTGTTTCTTTCCCACCTGCTTTATTTGTCATGCAGATTTTATACAAATACCATAGCTTATCAGCCAGTCCCTGGATTGGTGTATCTGTGACCCAGTTCATAGAGATAGCATTGTTGTTGAAGTGAAAATTGGACTTACACTAAAGGGGCTCCCTGGCAAAGCATTAACGTACCTACTAACCACCCTGACCTACTGGTATGCACCATGTTGACAATCAAGTCTGCATTATTGATTTTTGTTTGTTTGCTTTTGTCTTCTGGGCCTCATTTCTAAATTTGGCTCTTCATTGGAGTTTCATTGGAGTGACCAGTTCTGCTTTCTTAGTGGGACCATAGCTCCCTGTAGCAGCAGAACTGAGTGCCATTGTTCTCATTTGACTAACAAATTCTTTATAAAATACTAATCATTTTCTTTTTACAACTTGCTTTATGAAGCAGAAGACATGTGCTGAATCCGAACAATGTCATAAATGCTGAGAGGGCTGTTCTCAGTGGGCTTGAGTTCTCACTTCTCTTGTACGGATGGAGCAAGAAGCAAATGAAATTCTGAAAACCCCTTGCCAGATGCATGCATTGGCCCACATTTTTAATGTAATTTGACAATACTTTCCATGCACCCAAGCAGCCACTTTCCTTAAAATCCATGCTCTTAATGTTGAACCCTGCGTTTGAGTTGAATAATTGATGTGAGATTGAACAATATCATGACTTAAACTGTGAAGTGGCTTATGTCTACATTTGAAGCTGAAAACTTTACATCATAGTTATGGCTCAAAATCATACCTTTATTTTTACAGGCATCAAATGAGACAGGGCTTTGCTTTCCTTAAATCTCTGTTGCAAAAGGTTGTCGAACCTTGTATTAATGGCTACAGGATGTATGGGAGGTGGGTTTAGCTGACTGAAGTGAGATATATGTAAAGTGAGAAATACTTTTCAAAATACTTTTCAAAGCGCATTCAGCTATGCTTCTGCCTCAAGGTTGAAAGATTATTAACATGACACATTTTATACTTATGTTGGCTCAGTTAGCCATTGCTTGAATTTTTAGTGTGGAAGCTATTCATTTCTTTGTAAATTCATTCATTTCTAAACTAGTGTTCCACTGGCATGGTCTTCCAGAGATGAGAAAGTTAGCCTAAAGAAAAAAGTCCCTGGTAAAGTCACCCTTATGCTTAATAAATAAGGGCGGGAGTAAGCCACTTCTACTGAGCAATCAAGTGGGTTGGATCAACTGGTGAACTGAGGGCTGACTGACATCCTGCCTTCAATTTGGACTGGCAATATGAACAGCTTCCTTGAGACATTGCTAATCAGAGTGTATCAGTCCGATAAGTTACTTTTTGTTTAGTAAATGTATTGCCCTATATTCAGTCAGTGTATTAGGCTTATCCTCCTTTGCTTTAAAGGATCAAGACAGTTTTCTCCTCTGTGGAAGTTAAAAAAACCCAATAATTTACTAATAACAAGTCAAGATTTTTAAACTGATAATAGACATGTCTTATTATGGAGGAAATTTGAGAGTTAGAAAGTGGGAAGCCAGGTCCTCAAGCCTGCTAACAAATAGTTCATATATTCAATAAAAGAAATTTGAACTAATGAGTAGTTTTAAAGTGATGTCTAAGACAACTAGCTATATTTTCTGTATTGCTGTCACAGTGTACATAGGCTGCTGGTTGATGGTATGGGGACAGGAATAGGGTTGATGTTTTGGCCAAGGCCAGGGCTGGCTGTAACACATGTGGATGCTTGTGCTGGGGGTGGGGGTAAGAGATTCCAGATGGCGTTTAATTTGAGTGATTAAATCTATGGCATTTACCCTCATAAGCACACTAATCTGCTGAAGATTTGTACAGATTGCCCCCAGAGCCTCACTGCTACAATTGAGGGCAATTTTAGTGAGGCCTCAGAGCTTTGGAGATGGACAGACCTGGAAGTTCAGTCAGAGTTTTGTTCTTTGCTGGCTGAGTTCTTTAAAAAAATAAAAAATAAGAAAGAAAGAAAGAAAGAAAGAAAGAAAGAAAGAAAGGAAGGAAGGAAGGAAGGAAGGAAGGAAGGAGAAGAGAGAAAAGAAAAGAAAAAAGAAAAAAGAAAAAGGTCAACTTTTTTTAAGCTTCAATTTCCATAGCAGAATCTGGACATGATAATAATTATTTTGAAAGGTCAATATAAGAGTTGTAGGTCAGATTTTCTTGAGTTCCTATTTGTCTGAAATGTTTGCTTTTGTCAGTTTACTACCCAAGAACAATTTTTTTTTGGGTAGGCATTTTACAAGCCATAGATTTGTGTAGTTCATAGATAACTGTCTTTATCGCCCATAAATAACTAGACCATTTTGAATTTCCGAGCAGACGTCCAGACTTTTCCTAAGTTCATATTTAGAATTCCAGACAGAATGAGGTACTTTGTTGTTCTACTGTAACTGAAAATATAGGCCTTGTTAGTCTTCAGGACATATATAATATTGTGAGGTTTGGGCCACTTGCTGTCCTTCTATATAGATTTTGCAAAGCTAAAATACTTTCAAATGCAGAATATTTTCGTCATGTTTCTGATCACCCCCACACACTTAAAGAGGTAAATTGAGGGTAAGAGAGTGTTCGTAGGAGAGCTGGACGGGAGTCAGGTCCTCCCTCTGCTGTGAAACCCTGTGACACTCCTTTTGTGACCTAATAATACACATTTACTAAGTCTTCCATGTAAGTTCAGTGATATTTGTAGGAGATGATTGAAACCTCCCTAGAAGCTCTCAACCTAAAATTTTTATTTGTTTCTGCTCTCAATTTTTTTTTTTTGGGGGGGTGGGCTTTTCGGCAGCCCAGCATTGCTGGAAACCACAGGACTTCAAACTGCAGTTCCATCTTGAAATTGGGTCCGAGCATCCTTTGAGGAAACTTAAGGTTTTTCTCTGGTTCATTTCAGAGGCACTCATGCCAGCTCTGTGCACACGGTTAAGACCTCTTCGTGCATCTTAGTTTGTCTGTTTGGTCCATTTCTCATCTGTTTTCTGCTTTGTGTATAAATAAAGCTGCTCTTCTGGAGCGATTTTTCTCGGAGATCTTCCGACTGGTTCCCCCTGCTGCCGTATGTGTGCATAGCACAGGCTAGCACTTCTGTGGCTGCTGATAACGGTTTTCTTCCGGCCGGGAGATTGCAGGAAGGAAGATGGGATGTTCATAGCTGTGGCTGAGTATTAAGATATCGCGACCCTGCACAAGTATAAGATAACTCATTTAATTCTACTAACAAGGAAGCTAAGTTGGTTAGTTTAAAGGGCATTTTAATTTATGGAGTAAATTAAATAGGGACAGTTTTAAATTTGTAAACATTAAAACATAGAAAAGAGGATTGCTAAGAGTCCATGTGTGTGTCTAAATAAATATATGAATTTTAAGAGAAAAGCTCTTCTATAGCTATAGAAACTCAGAATTTGACTTCTCGGTGTTTTGAATTTGGTGTCTTATTTTCCCAACTAATCAATAAAGGGAAGGCATCTTTGTAGTTTGCATCTAGACCCTCACAGCGAGTATAAAAGATTTTGATTCCTTGTTTATATCACCACAATCAGAAAAAAACACTCCCTTGCTTTTAAGTAATAATAGGAAAGAAACACTTATTTAAAATGTTTTAAGTTTATGCACGTGTGTGTGTTTATGTCCGTACACGTGAGCGCACTCATTTGGAGATGAGAGGACAAGTTGCAGGGATTTTTCTCCTGCCATCATGGGAATCAGACTCAGGTGAGCAGGTCTGGTTTCCAGCATCTTTACTTACTTAATGGTCTCACTTGCCTGGAGACATTTCAGGGAAGATTTTCACTTTGTTGACTAGTGAGGTCTTTGATTTTTAACTTAGCAAGACACTAAGGACCAAAGAGGGGTGGAGGAGCCTACATTATCTTCAGTTCAGTTCCGCATCAGCATTTGGCATTGGGGAACTTATGTTTATGTTTCAGTAAA